GGAGCTCGGTTCTCCCTCCCTCCCTCCCTCCCTTCCCCAATATGTCTGCTGCCTGGCAGCCCGGACACAGAGATGCCCGCCGTGTCAACCTCATGGAGCCCTGCCAGGCGGGACCAGTGAGCCCAGACGCAGCGCCTGTGCTGGGGGCTGCTGGGGAGGGGTGCGACTCCGTGGGGGCCTGACTCAGAGGCGCCACCTGAGGTCTGGAAGCAAAGAGGGAAGGCGTGACTGGTAGAGGGGACGGAGGCTTGGTGTGGCCGGAGCGCTGGGACTGAGGGGCTTGGAGGGTAAGGGGCCAAGGGAGCTCGGGGAGAGCAGATCTGGGGACCCCGTAGGCCAGCAGGCCCTACTCCCCCCAGGCAGCACCCGTGGCTGTCCAGACACCTTTCAGAGGCTCAGACAGCAGCAGGCCGAGGTCATCCAGTCCAGCCTTGATGCGAGGGAAGAGGCGGGCAGCCCTCCCGCGTCCCAGGAGAGCAAAGACCAGCCTCAGGGGGTGTGGTCAAGCAGGGCACGAGGACAGGATAGAGCAGGAGTGGGGATGGGGGTGTCAGCTCACTCCCTGTTTTTCCACATCAAGGGCTTGGGGTAAGAGCAGAAAACGAACCCAGCTCGGTTGAGGCGGGAGCCCTCTGGGCTCTGCTCTAAGGAAACACGCCAAGCCCCACAGGCACCAGCGCACTGGGCTCCGGCAGGAAGCAGTTCCTCCCTGCATGGTCAGCATCTTTTTGTCACAGCCGTGGTCACGTGGAACTGCCGCTGGGGCCGTCCAAGGGAGTCCAGAGCTTGCAGGCCCCGTTCCTGTGTTCTGAGTGCTCCGGTTACCAGTGAGCTTCCTTTAACTCTATCTTGCCCATATGCCATCTTGGTTTTTTAAATGGAGATATAATACACATACCACGAAGTCTTCCATTTTAAAGTATACACTTTAGTGGTTTTCACTGTGTTCACAAAGTTATGCAGCCATTACAATGATCTAATTCTGGAACAGTGGTTAAGAATCTGCCTGCCGGGGCTTCCCTGGTGGCGCAGTGGTTAAGAATCCGCCTGCCAATGCAGGGGACACAGGTTCGAGCCCTGGTCTGGGAAGATCCCACATGCCGCAGAGCAACTAAGCCCGTGCACCACAACTACTGAGCCTGCGTTCTACAGCCCGCGAGCCACAACTACTGAGCCCGTGTGCCACAACTACTGAAGCCCACGCACCCAGAGCCCGTGCTCTGCGACAAGAGAAGCCACAGCAATGAGAAGCCTACGCACCGCAACGAAAAGTAACCCCCGCTCGCCACAACTAGAGAAAGCCTGCCGTCCCACCTCGTGGACTTTGAAGCCCAGAACCCCTTCTGGGGTCGTGGGGCAGGCCCTGGCCGGGGGCGATCCCTGAGCCTGGGGCTGCACCTGGGGCTGGGCGTGGTCCAGGTGTGGACACAGCTGACCCGTGGCAGAGGGGCCCGTCATATGTGGAGTGACATGGGTGGAGCTCGGTTCTCCCTCCCTCCCTCCCTCTCTTCCCAAATACGTCTGCTGCCTGGCAGCCTGGACACAGAGATGCCCGCCGTGTCCATGAAGACTCAATGCACCCAAAAACAAATAAATAAAATAAATCAATTAAAAAAAATAGAAATAATTAAAAAAAAAAAAGAAATTCAGGCAAGGCTGTATTGGGGCCCCTGCTGCAGCAGGGGGCCGTGAGAACAAACAGCAGGTTCCCTTGCTTGCTTGCTCCCTGGCGGGGGCGGGGAAGAGAGGGGGCCAGCTGGCTCCTTATATGGGGTGAGGGTAGGGGCGTGTCCAGGGGTGGGGCCGGAGGTGTGGCTTAGGTGGTTTGCCCACCCCTAGGTGGTGGTGTGTGCAGGGGGCATGTGCAGTACTCAGCTTCTGCTCCAGGCTCTTCAAAAGTGGCAGTTGGGTTTTTTGGTTTCTCTGTATCTTTTGTCCAGAATTTGTCCCAACTGCCATGCACGCAGTTCGTTTTAGTCCCACACAGTTTCTTTGTATTTTGTTGCTCCAGGAGATGTGTGTCCAGGTGCAAGCACTGCTGCAGCACTGCTGCAAACGGTCCCAGGTCCCAGCTTGTCTCACCTGCAGCCCTGGACCTTGCTGAGAAGCAGTCCACAGCTGGGCACTGGGCCTGACCACCTGCCCGGCTGGGAGAGGCTGTGGCCCCAAAGGGATGGCACAGGGGTCAGGGCGCACACAGCTGGTGGCCCTGGGAGTCCTCTGGGGAGGCCCAGAGCCAGGCCTGGCTGGGAGGGCAAGAGGCCCTGAACGGCCTGCCCCTGTGCCCCCCGGAAGGAGGCCTTCCAGCGGAGCAGTGCTTGCTAGTGCCCTGCAGCAAGAAAGCCCCAGAGGCAGGGAGGGGCAGAAAGTGGGGTGCCCTCCCTTTGGGTGAGAGCGGGCTGGCAGGCAGGCGCAGCTGTCAGGAGGGGGGCTGACTTGGACAGGGCGGGCGCATGTCCCCCCCCACCTGCCGTGTCCCACCAGCCCCCACCCAGCCCTGGACCCTCGCCTTCATTCAGAGCAGATGGGCCCCCTGGGCCACTTCCTTTCTCTTCCTCTGAAGCGCCTTCTGCTCTTCTCAGGGAAAAAGAGCCTGAGGCGGCCGTCCAGGCCTAAGTCCAGCCAGCCAGTAAGCCCAGCGGGCAGCTCTGGGTCCTGGAGGCCTTTTCTCCTGTGACCGAGCCTGGTGCTGGTTTCGGCCGTGAGTACACAATGAATTTTGCCTTACTTCCACTCCAGGCACCCCCCAGGCCTGTGGGTTTCCTCCCTCCCTGGAACCTTCCACTGCACTGTTGGGGAGGGGGTCTTCTCTCCAAGGCCATTAGCAGTTGGACGTGTCTCTCGTGGGACATGGGCCCTGAGACCCACATGCAGCTGTTTTTTAAAAGAAAACAAAATTTTTATTCGTGGCACTGAAGCTATTAAGAGGCAGGTTTTCAACGAACACAGTTAAAAATGAGCCACGGGGGTGGGGGCACCTGAGCTGGGGAGAGCCTGGGGACCCCGGGAGCTCCAGCCCCACCCCCTGCATCATGGGGCCCAGAGGTGTTGCCCCTCCTGGGCCCCTGAGGGAACCCACCAAAGGCCGGAGGCAAAGCGGGCGCTGGGGGAGCACAGAGTCCCACCAGGAAGCTCCTGAGGACCACCGGACACTTCCTGGGTGGCCGCGGGAGGCCTGTCGGGCTGGGGGCGCTGTGAGTGGGCTGAGCGCACTGGGCTTAGGATGCTGCTGTGAGTCAGGCGAGCCCCCAGGATTCCAGAGCCAGTCCCAGGTGGACGAGGGCGCCAGGGACAAGCGGCCTGGCTCCCAAGCTCCCAAACCCTGGGGCCGCCACAGGGTGACCTCGCTGTTACAGGCCTTAACTGTCGCGTGGATGTTTCTTTTCAGGTTACACCGTACTCTGACCATGCTCCCCACCCAGCCCCAAACTGGAAGTCGGAGGTCAGTGACCTGCCAAGCAGAGTTAAGACAAGGGGCGGGCGGCGGTCAGCTTCCGGCCCCGCTCTGCTCACCCCGTCCCCACTCCCCAACCCTCACTCTATCCTTCACCCCTACCCCCACCCCCGTGGACCTGGTGAGTGTGAAAGCCAGACAGAGATATGGGAGGTTTGGGGAGGTGGGGAGGTATACGGGGGTGGGGGGCTGGAGGAAGCTGGGTTTCCCACGTGCTTCAACCCAGAGCCTGGTGGGGCTGTGCAGCCAGGAGGGCTCTGGTTGGCGGATTGACCCACGCAGACCCCGGGGCTTGGGTGCCCCCAAAGCTGTGGGTGTTGGGGCGTCAGGGGGCTCCCACACAACCTTTCCTGGAGGACTGCCCCGGCCAATGACACTGCCCCCGCCCCGGGCGCCTGGGAGTTCTGCCCCGGGGACCCCACCCTCTGCACAGGTAACGGAGCGGCTGAGTCCCCACCCCTGCCTTCTCCTTCTGGCCTGCTAGCCAGCTGACGAGGAAACTGACCCCTCCCCGCCTTGGGTGCAGGTGCCTCAGGTGGCCTGTCCCCCTTGCTCTGGAAGAGTCCACCTGAGTCGGCGGACGGAGCAGGACCCCCAGGAAGGGACGAGTAGTGAAAGTCGTTTTCATCCTTCGAAAGGTGGCGACGCTGGAAACATAGGTCCCTTGAGATCCCATAGTCCAGGCACAGAGTCGAGTCAGCCGCAGTTACAGCACCTGCGGGATTTGGCCCTCAAAGGGCAGAGCCCTCTTTCCAGGCCTCCGGGATCACAGTACTGGTTCTGTTCCAAACCAGAGGGGACAAGTCTGGCCACCGCAGCTGACCGGCACTGGGCTACTTCATCAGTTCTGGGTTTGGTGGTTTTATGGGAATAAAAGAGTAAGTACCACACTGATTTAACATGTGTTTCTTCATCAGGTATGAGGTTGAATAGCTATTTTTTAAGTGTTCACATGGGCCTGATGGGAGCCTTTGAGGGCCACCTTCCCCAGGTGGGAGGGAATCATCAAGGGGCAGGGCCCCAAGTGACAGCAATGGCCACTCCCCGGGTTACTTAGCAGAACTGCTAAGGGGCCAGGTGGGCTTCCGGAAGCCACAGGAGGGTGCGGCTGCCCCCTCCCCTGGGCCCCAGGGGCCGGGGAAGTTACTGGAGGAGAGTGTGGCTGTTTGTGGAGGGTCACCCAGCAGCTGGGATCTTCCCTTGGAGGAGCAGTCAGCCCCAGGGCACCGAGGGTGCACTCCCAGCCCTGAACCCCGCCAGTCTGCCCGCCTGAAACCGGTCACCCCAGCCCTTCATGTCACTGCTTCCAGCCGGAGGGGCTGACCCAGCCCCGGGAAAGCACGGGGCTCTGCCAGGGCACCCTGGTCACCTGGCACCACCATCAGACGGATTTCGAGAGCACCCTGTCCATCCTGCCTCCCTGCCGTCCGGGGTCCAGCCCGTGCCTTTTCCCAGCGCCTCAACCCCTCCTTCTTCAACCTGCTTCCTTCTTTCATTTTCTCGCTGTTTGTTAGTTTTAGCAGAGATGCCTTCAGAAAGTGTTGGCTGAAGACTTCCTTCTGTCTGGGGGAGCATCCCTGACTGCCCCCAGGCCTCCTCGGAGGACTGGGGTGAGGAAGTGGGCAGCGTGAGTGCAATATTCAGACCGCTGGTGCCCAGGACAGCACAGCGGTGGCCTCCACCTCCTGGACACCTGGACGGTATGGAAGGAGTGCCCTTCCCCGCTTGGAAGTGCAGGTGAGAGGATCCGGGGGGCGGGCGGGGGACACGACCCTGAGCGCCAGGCTCTCCCACCGTGTCCCTCAGAGCCTCCTGCCCTGACGCTCAGCTGCCACCTCCAGGAGGGGACGGCTGCGGCACAAGGGCTTGCTAGCCAGGAAGGTGTGGTGCCTTCCTGCCACAGGGCAGGCGGCGTCAGGGGTCCCTGTGGAAGGGAAGAGTGGGGAGACAGTTTCCCGGAGCTGCTGGCTAGACCGCACAGGCCTTGCAGGGCTGGCCTAGCCCTCGTGACCCCATCCTGCCCACCCAAGTGGGGAGGGGTCTCAGCTGGGGGCCCCCGGCTGCAGGGAGGTCACAACCCACCTCGCGCCTGCGGGTTTGCAGGGCTCCAGCAGGAGGGCCGCTTGCTGGGGCCACCACGGCTGGCCGTGGGCACGTGAGAAAGCTCCCACGATTGAGTCTTGGGGAGGTGGCGCTCTTAGAGACAAGCAGACAGACCCAAGTAAAGGCAGTTCAAGCTCAGCCCTCCGCTCACTGAACTGGAGCAGCGGCATCTCGATGGGAGGGTGAGTGCAGAGCAGAGGAGGTCTAGTGCCCTGGACAGCGTGGCTGCCCTCCCTGGGCATGCTGTGGGGTGGGCCCGGCCCAGCGCACTCAGCTGCGCCGCACCGCACCGCAGGAGGAGCTTTCACAACACACGGTCGCGTCCCACCTCTCCAGAGGCCGGAGGCCCCGCAGACCAGGGGCTGCGTGGTGTGGCTCCCTGAGGCCCGCTTGCTGGCTCCTGGACATTGGGTCCTCACGTGGGCTGGGGGAGCTCTCTGGGGTCTTTTTTATAAGGACACTGACCCCATCATGGGGGTTCCACCTGGTGACCTCGTCACTTCCCAAAGGCCCCGCCTCCTTAGACCATCACCTTGGGGGTTAGGATCTCAACACAAGAAGTCTGGGTGGGACACAGACATTCAACCTCCCATGACCACTGGCACGTGAGCCACAGGTGACTAGAAGGTGTGGCCACTGTAAGCCCCAACCCTTTTGGAGCTATATGTCCTGTGGACGTCACCGGAGACCCCCGGGTGGGCACAGCAGAGGCTGGTTGCCCAGGGCGCGCTGGAGTGGGGTCCAGGTCACTGGGGTTTGGCAGGCTGGGCAGTAGGAGGCTTCCTAGTGGGAAGGGGGCTCAGGCTGCCCCCCGGGAGGCTGGGTCCTGGAGGTTAGTTAGGGGAGCGTTGTGACTCTCTCTGGTGGGTCCCGAGTTGGAAGGGGGAAGAGTGACAGTTGTTGGCCGCGTCCTGGTGGTTTGCGGCTTCCGGGGCTGGTAGCGGCTGGTCGTGACTGCGGCTCCACCTCTATAGATGGTTGGCCGTAGTCCATCTGCACAGTCAGCCTGTCTGTCTTCGTCTCTTTCAGCCTAAGGGCAGTTTTCTCCACAGGGACCAGAGGCAGATTCAGGGCAGCGCCCGTGGGTTCCAGTCCCAGGGAGGAAGGCGTGGCCCTGGCCATACCCCCACTGAGGCCAAGCAAGAAGTCCCACCTGTTTGTGAGTTACAGCGGCGTGGACGCCACGTGGACCCACGGGCTCTTCGGTTCCTTGGAGGCAGACCACGCGGGGCTGAGGGTCTGCCTGAACGAGCGGGACTTCACGCCGGGCAGGAATGCGCTGGAGAACATGGCAGACTGCATCCAGCAGAGCTGGGGCTTCGTGCAAAGCCGGCGGTGGCTGCTGGAGGCCGACTGTCCCTCTTGGGCTCCTGCCTGGAGGGGAAGCCGGTCATCCCGGTCCTACTGAGGGCCTGCCGGGACCCGCTGCACCTCGGCCTGACCTACCTGGAGGCTGCAGACAGCCGACTCTACCCGAAGGTGGCGCAGCTCCAGTGCCTCCCCAGCCACTGTGTGGCGCGCCCCGGCCCTGCGCTCGGCCCCCACCCTCTACAGCGGGGAGACCCTGCTGACCCTGGACTGCGTCAACAGGGGCAACCTGCCCTCGTGGAAGGTGGGCACCTTCAGCACCCTGGGTGCTGGAGGACCCCGAGGTGTACAAGCGTGCCGTGGGCATCGTGAACGGTGCTCCGTCGCCCGGGTCCTGCCTGCGGTACCGGGGCTGCAGGATCACACTTGGCATCGTCCTGACTCTTCTCTCCTTGGCATCACTGTTCCTCCCCTTACTTTTAGGGCTCAGGGAACGCCACCCAGCTCAGCGGTTCCTCCTGATCACCGCCAATGCATTTTCCTGCCCCTTCCTCATGGTCTTAAGTGCTAACACCCTGCGCTGGTTCCGAAGGTTTTCTAAGAGGAAGATGCGGGAGCTGGTCCGCAGAGCTGGGGAGGCCAGCCTGCTGCTGGCGCCGCATTTGGCGCTGATGGGCTGTGAGATCAGAAACAGACTCTGCTTTGTGTATGCGCTGCTGGGGGACTGCAGGCGGGCCCTCCTGGGCGCCCCCGAGGGCGAGGCCCTGTTGCAGGAGGCCCCACTGCAGTTCTCGTCCGGCTACACCTGCTGCCTGGCCCACGCACACCGCCCCCACCGCGAGGATGCCACGGGGGCCCCAGGCCACGTGGAGCTGGGCCTGTGCTTCTGCCAGTTCATCTGTCTGTAGCTGAAGAGACTCGGGGGGCTCGGGGTTAAACCCGTGTGACGGCTGGAGGGCAGGGGCCGGGCCTCTTGCTGCATGTCCGGTCACCCCTGGGCGGGCCCTGCGGACAGGGCTGCGCTGAGCCCTGGCTGGTGTGCACAGGCCTCTCCCCTTGGTTCCCTGTGCTGAGCGTGGCGGCCTCAGGCCCCTGCGTCCTGCCAGGCCAGAGCAGTACTGATTGCAGACCAGGTGCCCTTTCTGCTCGTGGCCTCCCCTCTGGCTCCACCCCAGCTCCTGAACTGCAGACCTGGTGGCTTCTCCTTCCCCTTCGGGCGGAGGGCGTGCCTGGGGCTGCAGCGACGCCCCCTGGAGCAGGTGGGGTCCGTCCACCAGCGCTGCCCCTGAAAGCTGGCTCCGCTTCTGTTGACGCTGTTCATCCCCAAGAGAGCAGCCTTGGAGCGTGAACTGGTTCTGGGTGCGGGGATAGCCGGGCAACCTGAGAGTCCTGGCTGAGCGGTGTGGCTCCCATCGCTCTGTGCCCCCAGGGGAGCAGGACTCTGGCCGGTGTCCCCAGAGGTCCCTACGCACCAGGGCAGGACGTCGGAGGTGCATAGTGGCCCTGGGGCTCTGTCCTGGGCCTCAGTTTACCGATCTGTAGATGAGCAGCTGGCAGAAGTTCCTGGCCCTCCTCGGGGAGCCCCTGGCCCGCGGCCAGGTGCTGTGCTGGCGAGAGCTTAGCTAAGCCCATGCATGGTATAGTGGCCCCACAGCCACTTCATTTGGCCGGCAGCCTTGCAGTCAGCAAGTGAAGGTCGCGGACAGCAGCCCCAGAGTCACAGGCCAGTGCAGACTCCTGAGGGGCCTTCCCAGCAGCCCTGTGAGCCACAGCGTCCTCCTCCCTGGCCTGCCTTCCCCTGGCGCCCCTGAGATGAGACCCCCCAGGGTGGACCGAAACCCCACTCTTGTGGTTTGAATTGACCAATCCGGCCCAGCCCAGGGACCCCAAAGCACTGCCCCCGTGGACCCTGATGCAAGCTCGTGCTGCCTGCCTGCCTGACCTCCCCTGCGAGTAATAAACTCACCTGTTTCATTGTCTCTTGTGGTCTGTTGTTGAAACTGGCTCACCATCCAGCACCCTGTGCTCCGCTTAACAAGGGTTAACTGAACGAAATCATAACACGAGTGTCTTGCTGGAGGCTGGCACAGAGGCTGTACTGGTCACCTCCGCCCTGGGGCTAGGATCGCACAGAGAGGCTCCCCCTCCAGAGGAGACTGACCTGCAGAGTGAGAGACAGAGAAGAGGAGGCTCTGGGTAGGGGGCAGCGTGAGCAAAGGCGCCAGGCAGGCCCCAGACCTCGGGGGCCCCAGAGACGGGCCCTGACACAGCCTCTCTGTGCCTGTGGGGCCGGGCCCCCCTGCAAATTTAAGGGTTGGGGGCTGATGGGGAAGCAGCATGGCCAGGATGTGGTGACGGGCACAGCCAAAGGGGGAAGTGTCCTGTGAGCCCCAAAGCCTGCTGGGTGGCTTGGGCGCCGGAACGTTTTAGGGCACAGTGCTTAGCAGCAAGAGCAACCCGAGGGTCCCAGCACCTGGCCTCTGAGATGCCCAAGGAAGGGCACCATCTGGGCCTCACATGGAGAAGGAGCCTCGGAACAGTGGGGGCTCCTGCTGCCTTCCAGCAGCCCCACTCCCAGACCCCACTGGGTCCTCCATCCCCAGCAGAGTCTCAGCATGGGTCCACCCACCCCTGCTCCAGGCCAAAACTGCCTCTTGGACCGCACAGGTGGCACCACAGTTACAGAGAGGCCGACCCCAGGCACACTGGCCACGCCTGTCCAGGCCAAGGGTCCACTCAGTGCCCAGAATGCGTCTGTGCCAGAGAGCACAGGAGCCCTGGGCACAGAGCTGGGCACTGGTCAGCCTTTAGGGATCAGACTCCTGGGGGCAGCACAGGGAGCCCTGGGAGGCAGTACCTGGGTCCGGGGGCAGAGGCCTACCTGTGTGCACGCACCCACATGTATCCGCACATGCCCACATGTATGCACACGTACCCACAGGTAACCTGCAAACGCCCACATGTAGGCCCCCACACACCCACATGTATCCGCACGCGCCCACAGGTATGCCCACACACCCACATGTATCCACACGCACGCACACATCCACACATATGCACACGCACGGCCCCTTGGCTCCTCGGGCACACTGCTGATGACATTGGCATTCCTGCCCAGTAGCACCAAGCCGTGCAGCCGAGAGATGGGGAGATGGACAAAAAGAAGGGCAGTCTGTCACTTCAAAAGGTTGGACTTTTTGTCATGAAATAGCACATTTGTGCAACAAGAAAGGGGAGACGTTTAAACGAGCCTTTCTATGGGACCGTTATCTGTAACGTAGGCTGTGGGAAATCTAAGGCTCTTTTGCACTGTGCCCGCGGCACGCAGGCCCTGCCTCAGCCAGCCCTGCTCCAGTTCTCGGGGCCTGGCCACCCCCCAGTACGGCACAGATCCCCCCACTGGGGCCGGGTAGCTCCAGGCAGTGGCGGCGCTAGACCTGGAGAAGTGGTCCCCCCAGAGTGCCCGCCGGGGACCAGGGTCTGGGGGACCCCAGGCTGGCCAGCCCCCAGCACCCACTCCAGGGCCGTGGGACCCAGGCCTGCCACTCCAGAATGCCAGGACGCCTGCCCACCTCCCCGCAGCCTGGACTCAGGGCTGCCCAGGGTCACACTGCTTGCTCTGACCCCTCGGCCTTGCCACCCGCTCCAGTGGTCGGTGGTTGGGGGGCACCCAGGGCTTTCACGGCGGGGGCAGGAGGAGAGGCCCCTGAGTGCCCAACCTCCGCTGTCTGCCCCAGGACAGAACCCCAGCTCACCGCCCTGGACCGCTGAGGACGCAGGCGCAGGCTCCGTGGACCTGGGAGCTCCACGCCCTGTAGACGCCCCAGGAAGCTCCTCTGCTGGGTCCTGGACTGGTTCTCAGAGGGGTGACCTCAGGCAGGCTGGGGCCTGTGAACCCCAGGGAGGGGCTGAGGCTCTAACCAGTGCTGGGAGCCCCCTCACAAGGCTCCTGGTCACCAGGTGCTCCGGCAGCTGTCCGAGGCCAGCCCTGCATCCTGGCACACCACCTGCTGGTAGCCACCCCACGGGGCCTCTGCAGCAGCCCCCACTTCAGCCCCGCAGTTTCCCATGAGACAGGAGAGGAAGGCCTCCAGGATGAGGCTGCCACACCCTGGTGACCCCTGTCCCAGCTCAGGCCTGGATTCAGCAGGGGTGACCTGAAGCTCTGAATGGACTGTCCCCAGGGCCCCATACGACCCTCCAGGGCCTTTTAGGACCCCCTGACATCCCCAAGACTTCCTAGGCCCCTCCACTGACCCTCCACCTGGCTGGGCTCTGCCCTGTGGGTCAGGTGAGCCTTACCATGGACGGTGGGGCTGGGCCAGAGCTGCCCTCTCCAGGATCCTCCCCCAAGGGGACAGGGTGGGGGTGCAGCACCCAGGTCAGCAGAGGGCTGTCCTGTACCTGCGCTGGGCGTCCTGAGCACTGGGTCGAGGCCATGAGCCAGGCGCTCTTCCCAGAGGTCCTCCCTAGAGGGGAGACCTGGGCGGAGCCGGGGGGCACCAGGCCCAGCTGGGACGGAGTGTGAGGGCGGGTCCCAACCGCCTTGCTGAGAAGCATCTCCAGAGGTCTTGGGGTCCAGTGTAGTTGAGAGTCTCTTTGGCCAAGGAGACGGCGGAGCTGCGTGTTGCTGTAAGGGGTCCATGCAGGTGACGGGGTTGGCCATGAAGGTGGCAGCAGTGGGGTGAGGGGTCCCTCAGCAGGATGCCCTTGGTGGGGCGGGTTGCAGAATGTACCCTGGGAGCGGGTTGATGTTGGTGCTGCCCAGCGGAGCCTGGGTGACCCCAGGGGCACAGAGAGCCTTGTTCCAGAGTGAGGGAACCCACATTCGTGAGAGCGGCCCTGTCCCAGCAACCCCACAGGCGCCAGCTTGCCTGTGTCCCCATTTTACAGACGAGGAAACTGAGTTTTCAGGGGTCTGGTCCCAAGAGACTGTGCAGCCCCCCGTGGCAGGACCGCGGCTGACTCTCTTCTCTGGCCTAGGTCCCCCGCCCTCCGATTCCCAGCTGCTAGGTGAATGGCAGGAACCCTGAGGCGGGACGTCCCATCTGGGGACACAGCCACAGCCAGGCAGGTGGAGGCCGCTTCTGAGGGGAGTCCACTCAAAACACAAGCCAGGAGCCCCCATCCCAGTTCAACACCCCAGGACAGCTGCTACCTCTGGGGGCCTCCACCCACCGCCCCAGCTGGGGAAGGGTCTTCACCCCAGAAGAACATGTGTGTGCATGCGTGTGTGGGGAGGGAGCTACATCACTGGACACCTGGGAGGGGGGTGGTGGGAGTATGTGTGCACGCGTGTGTCGGCATGTGTGTGTGTGCCTGTGTACATGTGACTGTGTACCCTCAGGCTCCGCATACGAGGATTCAACCAATTGCCAATCAGAAATATTAAAAAAAAAATTCCAGAACTTTCCAAAGAGCAAAAGTTGAATTTGCCAAGCCAGAAACTTTTTACACAGCATTTACATGGTATTAGGTATTATAAGTAATCTAGAGATGATTTATAGTACATGGGAGGATGTATGTAGGTTATGTGCAAATATTACACCATTTCATTTATATAAGGGACTCGAGCATCCCTGGATTTTGGTATCCACAGACTTGGATATCTGTGGGGTGTCCTGGAACCAATCTCCGTGGTACCGAGGCACGACTGTATGTGTGCACGTGAGTGTGTGCACCTGTGTGCAGAGGGAACCCTGGAAGGGTCACCACATCGCAGGCCGCAGGGTGAGGGGAAGAGTCTTTGCTCGCCTGTTCTACTGCAGGGTCTGCACTGTGGGTCACGCTGCGGGGCCGGGGCTACTGCAGGGGGCCGGGCAGGCCACCCAGAGCCGAGCCCCAGCCCACAGCCTGACACTGGCCAGAAGCCACGGCCCTCTTGGCCTGGGTCCGTCCCAGGAGCCTGTCCTGGTGCGGCGAGGTGGTCCGCGGGACCCCGCAGACGGCGCGGGGGGGGTGGAGCCCTGCTCCTGCTGCCCGCCTTGGCTTAGGCTCGCCCGGAAGTGGTGCCAGCAGCGTCAGTTCCTGTTGTTTGCTACCGAAAACCGGCGGAAGTCTTAGGATGTAGCACAGGCAACTCATTTTAATTTGAAATGCCTTAAATTTCATCTCAGCAATCCTGGGTTTTAGTTCCAGGAGGTGAGAGAATTTCAGTTTAAGATCTGACTCTGACCTCGCGGTGTCAGGCGGGTGGGGTCCGCGCTGTTAGATGCTCAGAGGGCTCCTGGGGTATGAGAGCCATAGGGAATCTAATTAATGAAGTTGTCACTTCTGGGAAATGTCTTTAACAGTTTAGAGAGATTAAATGTATTAAATGTATAAATTAATGGCGTATTAATTAAAGAATAAGTGAAGACATATACAAAGGTTACTAGGTTAATAAATGCTTTTAAATTGAGCTTTAAAGCTTGAGAAAAGCTGGGCAACGGGGGACAGAATTCGGGCCCTCGCCCGAATGGGGTTGGGGGGTCAGGAAAAAGGCCGGAGAGCCGAGGATGCTCAGGAGAAGCGCGAGATCCAGATGGAGGTGAATCTTTACTCAGAGAAAAGCGACAGAGCTAGAGGCTCACGGGGCGGGGGGCGTCAGGGAGGGGGCCTGGGAGCAGGGGCACGACCACGGCGACCACAGAGCGGCGAGCGTCGGGCGAGGGAGGTCACAGGTGCCGGCGTGGGACGCTGCGAAGACAGAGGGGAGGAGGGGTGAGGCCGGGCAAGTTGGGGCGGGTGCACGACCACACCGCCCATCTGCGTGCGAAGAAATGAGGCTGAACTCCGCCCTCCCGCCTCCAGTTCACCTGACCTCGCCCCCCACTGACCCCGCCGCGCCCACACTCGGGTCCCCGACCCCCGCGCCTTGCCCACGCCCCCCATCCCCCATCCTGCCCTGACCACGCCCTCGTGCCTGCTCCCTGCCCGAGACCCTCACGTGGTCACAGGGGTCGCCAGGGCGGACAGCACCCCTGAGTGAGCCTCCAGCCGACCGGGCCGGCGCCGTGCCCCTCCCCGGGGTGGTGGGGCGGATAGGGAGGAGGGTCCCACCTACCCGGATGGGCTGCGACCCGGAGGCCAGAGGCCATCACTGGGGGGCTGGGGGCGGCGCGCTCCCCTCCACCTTCTGCTCAGCCTCCTTCTCTCCTGGCGCCGAGGCCTCCCCGGAGGGCTTCCCCGAGGGCTTCCCCGAGGGTTTCCTCGAGGGCTCGGTGACCGCCGCCATGGCCGCGCGGGCGGGCGCCTTGTGCGCCTTGGGCGCCTCCTTGAAGGCGTGGTAGCTCGCGGACAACCACGGGGTCTCCGTGCCGTGCTTGCGGCCCACTGGGTAGGCCCCGATGGCTGCCAGGAGGCTGCGGTGGTGCTCAGGGTCCAGCTCGGTGTAGTACATCTCCAGGGTCAGCGGGGTGCAGATCTTGTGCTGCGGAAGGGGGCCGGTCAGGGGCGGGGGTGGGGGGAGGTGTGGCGGCCGCGCCCCTGGGCTCGGGTGTGCAGAACGGGGTGCATTTTTTCTCAGTGGCATCAGCCGCGATGCGGGAGCCGCGTCCGTGGGCCACCCGCGGGCGGGCGGTCACCTCTGCTTTTGAGCAGTTCGGTCATACTGTAGACAGTGCCCCTAAATACACTGATTTCTGCCGTAATTTCAAGCCATCAGGGGTAGGCCTCCAATTCAGACCTGGAGGCTCCGCAGAGAGCCAGCCCTTCTCCGAACGCACCGGTGGCCGGTGGCCATGGCCTCCTCCTGAGTGAAGGGGAGGGGGCTCGGCGAGTGCCCCGCGGCCCGCCCCCACCCCGCGGGCCCCCGAGGGAATCCCAGTGAGTGAGGGCCGTTAGCAGCCCGGTGCACCCCTGGAAGTACAGTGAGGGCTCGTGGCCTCTGTGGGGGGAGCGCTCCCCTCTCGGAAATCACGGGGAAAGGGGGACGATTTATCTACTGAAAACTTAGAGTCTTGAAAAAATACACTGAAAATGGTAAAAGTCACCATGAGCAAAGCTGAGAGAAAAGAAACAAGGATGGGGGAACACATTCCAAGCATGCAGAAAACGTCAACATCCTGTGGCATAGAAACACGCCGCATATAAGTGAGGGGGGCTTCCCTCCGCCTGGACCTCCTTCCTTATGCTTTACTTTTTAAATTACAGGAAGACACAACCTCTCGCTAAAACACCTTTTCTTTTAATTTTTCTAAAGATAGGACTTGAATATACCTGGAAGGTGACGGGGCTTGAGGGCCTTTGCAGGTCACGTTCCCATAGAGCTGGGAACACCCCAGACCAACCCTCCTGGGGGTAGCTTGGGGGAGAGGAGGGGAGGCACCCCGTCCTTCCACAGGACACCCCCCTGGGACCCTCCCTGGCACTCTGCCTGCAGGGCGCGACTGCCCTTCCCAGCCCCAGTGCCCAGTCCACCAGCCTTACCCGAAGCAGGAAGCCGTCGGGGCAGCTGAACTGGTCATACCAGATGGCCTTATACATGATCAGGAGGCAGCCCATGAGCGCCATGGTGAAGGCGATCATCCGCCCTGTGGGCATCTGGGGGGTGGGCAGGTGCGGAGAGGAGAGGTGGGGTGGTAAGGCTGTGCAGGGCCTGGGCCGCGAACCTCAGGGCCGGCGCCCATCGCGCACACAGCCCAGGGCTCACCGGCCTCTCAGAAAGGATGGGGAAAGGGGAAACGGGCAGAGTTACTACTGAGAAATGAAAGGCTTTAGAAATGGTACCCTAAAAGTTATAAAAAAGCCACCATTAGTAAGCTGAAGAGCTAGAAAAGGAAGGGAAAACACATTTGCCAGAGACACAGCAGGAAAAGTGAGTCTCCATCGTATACGGGAAATCCGCGAGTCACCGAGGCAGAGACAAACGACCCACGTGGGAAAGGGTGCAGGGTGCAAGCAGGCACTGCGTCTCCTGCCAGGGGCTCCTCTGAGGGCGGCGGCTGCCCGCACCCCATGTTACAGCAGCAGCGGGGAGGCTGGCAGAGCCTGCTGCTGCCCAGGCCCGACCCCTACCTCTGATGGGGTGATTCCCTGTCCAGCTCTACTGAGAGCAGGGCCCTGACCAAGGGCCCCCAGCCCACCCAGCCCAGAGCCTGGGTTCCCACAGCTTGCAGCTGCCTCTCCACCTCCCCGCCCTGACTCCCCATGGAATTGGCGGGGAGGGTTGGGTTACCCTGCCACGTGCATCCTCTGGGTGGCCGCCGCCCAGCTTCTGGGCCTCCAGGTCGGAGAACTTTGTCGGCTGGTCCCCGGAGGACAGCTGGTATTCCGTCTGTGTCTTAATGACAACCTGTGGGAAGAAATGATGCAGGAGGACCCTGAACTAGGGGGGCTGGGAGGGAAAGGGGGCAGGGGGCAGCTGCCCGCAGTGGTGTGGGTGCTAGTGGCAGGGCTCTAGTGGCTACAAGCTGACACCAAGGGAAGGGGACACTGGAAGTCGGCCAGGGCCGTGGCAGCCCAGGGCCTGGCCAGATGATGGAAAGAGCCCCTATGTGTGCTGGCTGCCTTCGGCTCTGAGGATGCTAGCTGTCCCTGCCAGAAGCTTCCTCTTCGATGGCACCACAGCTTGGTCCCCTCCTCCAGGAAGCCCACCACTGAGCCTTCCCTTTGGGAACCAGGTCCAGAACGGTAGCAGGCATGGTCGAAGCCCACACAGATCGCTGGAGAACTGCCCTCGACTCACGGGAGCAATGCTGGGAAGTGCCCCCTGCCCTCGTCAATGGCTGGCTGACAGGGGCCTCAGGCTGGGACAACTCTGCGTGCCATTCACTCTCCAGAGCTCCGGTGGGGTCAGGCAGGGCTGTGCCTGAGCTGAGCTCTGCTTCTTACAGGTTCCTTCTGAGAGCTCCCCCTTCACCCACCCCTTGCCCAAGGACCTCATCTCAGGCCGCAATCCAAGAAAGAGCACGCCCAGCAGAGGAAGGGGGTAGTTTTTGCTGCTGAGCCCCTGCTGGACTGCAGGCAAGCTGGGCACTGTCTGTGAGAGCATGTGAATCCTCACCACCACTTGTGGCCAGTTTACCCTGGTTTGCAGATGAGGGAAGGGCAGTTCTGGGTGGCCGGGGGAGCCGATCGGGGCACACCGCAGGCTCAGCCTGGCCCTTTCTCCACTTCCTCAGCTGCCCCTTAGAGGAGGCCACACCTAAAGCCACCTTGCTAACGCCCGTGTGTTTCCAGGGCAGGATGACACAGGCCTCCACGCTGGCCCAGGCCCCTCACCTGGTCGGAGAACGCAGGCTGTAGCTGGCTGACATCCAGGGGACTGATCAGAGGGATGCTGTCCATGGTAGCCCCTTCCCCGGAGCCTGTCTTCCCCGAGAAGCTGCAGTTCAGCTTCACCATGGTGGATGGCAGTCCTCTTCCTGTCCAGAGGCAGACACAGGGTCACTGGCCACATAACAGATGTCCACACCAGCTGGGTCTGGAGTGAGAGGGCCCCAGGCTGGCCTTTATGCTCCTCACGCCAGAGGTGGGTTGGGCCGTGGGTGGCCAGGCCAACCTCCCCAGGACAAACCAGGTGAATCCAGCCGCAGGATTCTAGTCCCTTCCTGCGCCCTGGACTCCCTTTGGCCCCCACAGCCGTGCAGGCGAGAGTGCCTCTGACTGGTGACTGCCTGGCGGAGTCTTCCACTGGCCCACCTGCTCCAGGAGATATTCTAAGGGCAGCAACCAACAGAAAACAATCCCAGATAGAAGCCTGGAGAGTAGGGTGGCCAGACTTAGCAAATAAAAGTACGGTACGCCAGGTTTAATCTGAATTTCAGATAAGCAACGGATGCTTTTGCTTTTTATGATCTATCCATGTAATATGCAATACAGGGACATATTTATACTAAAAAGTATTGTCTATCTGAAATTCAAATTTAACTGGGTGTCCTATGTTTTATCTGGCAACCCTACTGGAGATGCAGGAAGTAACAAAGAGCTACAGAAAGAGGATGCTGGTGAATGAATTCAAGAACTAACTGCACAGAGCGTGGCAGTAATGGTGTACGTGGACTGTACCATCTGGGGAGCTGGAACGCCCTGACAAGAACAGGAGTGGGGGGCAGGCAGGAGGTGGGAGGGACCTGCATGGCTTGGAGGAGCACAAAGCTTCCTGGGGGAGGTCAAGATGGTTTCACTTCTAGGCTGACTGATAAGAGAAAAGGAACACAGCAAATGACTTGAAACTGAAAAAACAGAAACACAAAATATACTCAGTCAATCAAAAGGGGAAAGAAATGGTCCCATGTCCACTAAGAAATTAAATCTGTTGTTAAAATCTTCCAACAAAGAACTCCAGGCCCAGGCAGCATCACCCCTGGATTCTACCAATCATTTAAGGAGGAAATCATGCAAATTTCATACAAAACTCATCCAGAGGAAAGAACACTGGAGCACACCCCAGCTTGTGAAGCCAGCACGACCTCTATCTCAGAACTCGGCAAGGACAACGAGACAGAAGACCTCGCAGGCCATGCTATCCACCAACACCAGTGCCAAGGCCCCAGATAAAATGCAAGCATGTAGAATCCAGCAAGATATTAAAAGCCTGGGTGTATTCTGGAAATTTCACATCTGAAAGCAATCATTATTTTCACCATATGAACAGAATAAAGAAGAAAAATGATCTGATCAATTTCAATAGTAGCTGAAAAAGTATCTGGTAAGGTTCAACATTTGTTTACTATTTTAAAAAATCTATTGGAATTCCCTTGGTGGTCCGGTGGTTAGGACTTCATGCTTTCACTGTCGAGGGCCCAGTTCAGTGGGAACTAAGATCCCACAAACTGCGCGGCACAGCCAAAAAAAAAAAAAAAAAGAAAAAAAATTGGGAGGGAGATACAAGGCCCTTTATTATCAGTTCTATAAATGATGGTGATTTATAGAGGTCCTAGCCAAGCCATATGGCAGGAAAAAGAAATAAGAGGTACAAAGCCTGGATGAGATTAGGTAAGACTCTCATTATTCACAGAGAAAGAATCTTTTGTGTGTAGAAAATCTAAAGGAATCTGCATATAAATTATACGGATTGGAAAGTGAGTTCAGCAGAATTGATGGGTTTAAGGTATTCAGAAATCAGTTCTGTTTCTATGTATCAGTGACAAAAAATTAAAACATAATTTGTTGAAAGATTCCACTTAAACAGTATCAGAGATATCGAATGCTCAGGAGCAGGTCTAACAAGAGATTAGAAGGACCTCCCTGTGGAAAACCAGAAGAAACCTCTGTCAAGACACTATTGACTGGGACTTCCCAGGTGGCCCCGTGGGTAAGACTCCACGCTCCCAATGCAGGGGGCCCAGGTTCAATCCCTGGTTAGGGAACTAGATCCTGCATGCCCGCCACAACTAAGAAGCCTGCATGCCACAACTAAGACCCTGTGCAGCCTAAATAAATTTTTTTTAAAAAAAGACATTATTATTATTAATTTATTTTTTGCGGTACGCAGGCCTCTCACTGTTGTGGCCTCTCCCGTTGTGGAGCACAGGCTCTGGATGCGCAGGCTCAGCGGCCATGGCTCACGGGCTCAGCCGCTCCACAACATGTGGGATCTACCCGGACCGGGGCACAAACCCGTGTCCCCTGCATCGGCAGGTGGACCCTCAACCACTGCGCCACCAGGGAAGCCCCTAAAAAAGACATTATTGACTGAGACCAAATAACTCCTAAATTCCTTAAATAAATGGGGAAATATATGGTCATGGATTTTGGAAGTTTCCATGTTTAAAAACATCATTCCCCCTCAAAGTGTAGCTATAGAATCAATAAATCCCAATCAAAATTCCAAGGTGAAATTTTTGTGTGAATTTTTAAAAAATATATCAATAGTTATGTATTTTTAAAATAAATTTATTTAATTTATTTTTGGCTGTGTTGGGTCTTCGTTGCTGCGCGTGGGCTTTCTCTAGTTGCAGCGAGCAGGGGCTACTCTCATTGCAGTGCATGGGCTTCCCGTTGCGGTGGCTTCTCTTGTTGTGGAGTACAGGCTCTAGGCACGCGGGCTTCAGTAGTTGTGGCACATGGGCTCAGTAGTTGTGGCACATGGGCTTAGTTGCTCCGTGGCATGTGTGATCTTCCCGGATCAGGGCTCGAACCCGTGTCCCCTGAATTGGCAGGCGGATTCCCAACCACTGCGCTACCAGGGAAGTCCTTTTTGTGTGAATTTGATAAGCTTTGTAATTTTATATGGAAGGCAGAGGGACAAGGATACTCATAACATCTTGGAAAAGACCGAGGGGGGCACTTGTCTGCCAGGCGTCTAGCTTGTCACATAGCCATGTGGTATCACTGCATGGTGTACAAAGACCCATGTGACACACCCTATACACACGGACCACAGAGATGTCACTGCAAAGCTTGGGGATGGCCACCCAACGTCCACATGGCAAACAGTGGACCCAATCCCCACCTCACACCCCACACAAAAATCTACACCCGGTGGATAAGCCAAGATGGAAAAGCGTCGTGGAGATAATACAGGAGAATATTTTCCTGGTCTCAGGGAGGGAAAGAGTTTTTCAGTATCACAAATAAGCGCTAACCACAAAAGAAAATATTGATAAAAGAACTACATTAAAATTAACAGCTTCTTATAACAAACGTATGGTTACCAAAGGGGATAGCAGGGGTAGGGGGAGATAAATTAGGAGTTTGGGATTAACATATACACACTACTACATATAAAATAGGTAAACAACAAGAACCTACTGTATACCACAGGGAACTATAATCAATATCTTGTAATAACCTATAATGGAAAAGAATCCAAAAAGGAATAGCTATATATGTATAACTGAATCACTTTGCTGTACACCTGAAACTAACACAACACTGTAAATTAACTACAGTTCAATTAAAAAAATTAAGAGCTTCTGCCCATCAAAACATAGCCTTCAAAGAATGGAAACAGAAACCAAGACTGGGAGAAAATATTTGCAACCTGCAAATGCGAAAGGACTTGTTGTGGGTTCAACAACAAGACGAGCCCAAGCCCTAACCTGGGCACCTGTGAACGTGATCTTATTTGGAAATAGGGTCTCTGCAGATCTAATCAAGTTAAGATGAGCTCATACTGGATTAGGGTGGACCCTGATCCAATGACTGGTGTCCTTATAAGAAGGGAGAAATTTGGACACAGACACACACAGGAAGGAAGCCATGTTGAAGATGGAGGTGGATACTAGAGGGAGGTGGCCACAAGCCAAGGGACTCCTGGGGCCACCGAAGCTGGAAGAGGAAGGAAGGAGCCTCCCCTGGAGCCTCAGAGGGAGCTTGGCCCTTGCAACATCTTGATGTCCCACTTCTTGCCTCCAGAGCTGTGAAAGAATGAACGTCTGTTGTTTGGAGCCACCCAGTTATGGTGGAAGCCAATATGGGTCAGGCATCTACCATATAAACAGAGTGTCTCAAGTTGGTCAAGAAAGACAGACAGATCACCCAAGAGAAAAATGGACAGAAGAGGATTTCAAATGGCCATGAATACTGAAATGGTGCTCACTCCATTATCCTTGAAGAGACAAATTGCGGGGGTGGTGGTGGGGGAGCGGGGGGCGGGGGGAAGCCGAACACCAGGACAGGGAGAGCAGGAACAGAGGCCGCCACAGGGTGGGGTGGGGCCGCTTTATCTAGGGTGTTGAACCTGTGACGGCCTCACTCACTCCTGGGCAGACACCCCGCAGGAAGGCAGGTGTGCACCCACGTGCACAGCAGCACTGCCCACAGACGCGCGCACCACGGGGCATCTCCTCAGTGGAACAAGCACATGAATAGAGGCGTTTCTGCGAGGTCGTCAGAGCAGGGAAGGGAAGGGACCACGCTACCTGCAAGAACAGCCCTGAATCACAAAACCAGCGTCGGCCAGAAGAAGCCAGGCACACATGAAGGGTCGAGAATAAAGAAACACAACAGCCTTGTCTAGGACCCCATCCCGCGCTCAGGAGCTCGGAGGTGCGGCCAATGCTCCTGCGTCTGCAGAGTCCCGCGTGGTGCCCTTGGGGGAGGGAGCGGCTTCGGGGCGGGGCGGGCGTTTCCGGTCTTCACTTGGATGCTGGACGCCTGGGGTTCACTTATGACGAATCATTAGGCTGCACATTTGCTTCGTGTCCTCTTCTGAGTTCGTTATATTTCACAACAAAAAAGGTTAAAAACAAACAAAACCAAACGACAGCGGGCAGGTAGCAGAGGCACAGCCAGGCCACGACCTCTCCCAGGACTGAACAGCCTTTTGACAACTGTGCCCTGGCTGTCCCCTTCCTAATGAGGACCTCGGGCTGAGCTTTCCGCCCTGGCCTCCGAATGTGGCCCCTCCCTCGCCACTGCCTGCACCCACCCTGCAACCCCCAAACTTCTGTCCTGAGCGACCCTCCTGGGCATCAGCTCCACCACCGCAGGTGCCTGCCAGGCCTTCACTCAAACCCCGGCAGCCAGGCCCTGCTGTGGGTGTCGGTGCGGGCAGGCCAGGTGGGAACGCAGAGGGGGAGCCCCTGCCAGCGGCAGAGTCAGACAGACCTGCAGGACGTGTGGGAGGCGCTGGGCAGGGAGGCTCGGGGCGGCCACTGTGGGGAGGGCAGGAAGCCCCCGGCCCAGGCTGGGAGAGGGGCCGCCCCATCGTGGACTCACTCCCCAGGCGCCCGCGGAGGAGGCTTCTCTTAGGGTCTTGAGCCGGCGCCCTTCCCCGGATGTGCGCGCCTTGCCCGGGCCGTACAGACCGGCAAAGCGTCCCCACTCCCCACCCACCCCAGGCTGGGGCGGTGTGCTCTTCCTGAGGTGGGTCGAAGCCTGGCCGGGCCTCGGCCTGTGGATGACGTCCGGGCACCTGGGTACCTGCCCCAGGCGGGCGGGACATCTGTCCTTCTTCGCTCGTACCGCGCTTATATGACGTCCACGCTCCACGAGGCAGGGACGGACAAGGAGCCATCAACATATAAATAAAAGAAGGTCGGGCGATCCGTGCGAAGAAGGAAATAGAGATGAAAACCGCCGAAAGGGGGCCGCGGAGGAGGGCGGGGGGAACGACCGGGCACTGCAGGGGAGGGCTGTGCGAGGTGGGGACAGTAAGCGCCCCGGCCTTTAGGGGAGCTTGGCGAGGGGCTGGGGAGGGTGCCCTCCAGGGGGAGGGGGCTGGGGTCGTTCACGCAGCAGACGCCCCGCGACTCTCAAACCCAACCTGCGGTTTACAGACAGGAGCCGGGAGGGGCAGAGGGGGCACAGCCCCCACCCCCGCAAACCTGTCAATCTCAGCTTGGTGGCCACGCCCCCTGGAAGGCGGAAGGCCGAGGTCTCCCCCTCCTCTCCCGCAGGAGGCCCCTATCCATACGAGCTCCGCCTCTGGGTTCCCTTTAAGCCAAACGTAAGCTCCAACTCCTCTGCCTCTGCATGACGTCCACGTTACATCATCTTGGGTTTCCATGGCAACAGAGACAGGCAGGCAATGACACGTCTTCTTGAAGAAAAGAAGACTTGAGGGCCCAACGGACCCTCTGCGTCTGGCTCTAGGCGCCTTCTTCCAGGCAGAATGCTGGGGTAGGGGCTGGGCTGCACCTGGGAAGCCCCCCCCCCCGCAAAATTCCTTTCCCTGCCTGAGTCATGCAGACCCTCTGGGCAGGCTGGCTGGGCTCATTCACACGACAGACACTTAGCTCCGTGGAATGGGAGGGGTCTTCCCTACTCCTCCCACCGGCCCCCTCCCTCCACGCTGCGCTGTAATTGTGCCTTCGACAGCGGATCAGCTGCTCCCCGCTCGCCGTAGGCTGCTGGGCTGGGATGTGGGGCGGTGTACGTCTCCTCTACGAGGCTTGGGGAGGGGGCACAGGTTGAGCAGTGAGGTTGTGCTGAGGCTGCGATGGGTGGCTGGACGGGAGGGCACGGACCCTCAGCAAGCTTGGCTGCAGGTCACGTCACAGACTCGCTTTCACACATACGCCACCCTGGGATGCTGCGTCACTCGGAGGTATGCACCGGCGCCTGCATGTGCGGGCGGGCACGAGCGTCCTGTGTGCATTGGGCGTGCGTGTGACAACGGAGCGCGGGGGGCCTGCGCGCTTTGCCAAACCCCGCAAGGCCCCCGCCCCCGCGCCGCCCCTTCCAGGCCCAGCCGCAACGCCCACCCAGGTGCGCTCCCACCCGTTGTCCTGCAGGCCGATGGTGGGTTTGACTGCCGGTTCAAGGGCAGGTGGACTGCAGGCGCCAGCCCAGCCCTGAGAGGCCCAGGCGAGCGGGGCAGGTGGGGGGAGGTGCAGGTCTGCCCCGGCTTCAGCGTCCCAAGTACCAGCCACCTGTGGCTCCGCACCGAGAGCCCGTGGCAGGCGGTTCTGGACAAATGCCCTCTCTCCGCTTCTTGGCCACGTCCCGCCTGCCACGCAGCCTCCCTCACCTCCGCCACCACCGTGCCGTTGCCGGCAGCGCTTCGTGATCTGGTCCGTCGGAAGCCCCTTCTGCCTCCCCCACCCCCTCAGGTAGAGATGAACCAGTCCTGGAACTGGCACCCGTTCTCCACCTCGGGACGCCCATCTCCCACTGGCTCTCTCAGACCTGCAGAGGTGGAGCTGGCTCGCGGGGAGGGGGCTGCAGTCTCCATGGGACGGGGGGAGCTGATGTCCAGCAGTCCTACCCCCACCCGAGCTGCCCCGCTCTACCGCGGACGGGAATCTGGGCGGCACGTCGGGTCTGCGCAAGGCTGGACACCCACGGCCCTTCTGAAACATCCAGGCAGGGACTTTTCCCGCGGAGGCCCCGGATCCTCGGGGGGGCCTGAGGACAACCTCCTGCGCTCGGGCCGACCCCTGCCCGGCCGGCTGCCAACGGGTCAGCCGCAGTTCCGCCCCCCCGCCACTCTCTCACCCCTGCACACGCCCCTCGCACATCCGTGCACACACACCAGTATACCTGCGACCCCCGCACACCCACCATGCACATCCGCGCAACGCACGCGCACACTCGTGCGCACACTCGGCCCCCCCACCCGCCCCCCAGCTCCGCTCCACAAGGACAAATGTGCAAATGGCTCACAGGCGGCTCCAACGGGCAGCTGCAGCAGGATGCGGTCGCAGGACAAGGATGCGGAGGAAGGATGCGGTTCCAGACGCTTCTCAGCTGGGGCGCGGCGGGGGGAGGGGCCGAGCCCCAGACCGAGGCTGCCGTTGTTGCCAGGGAGATGCAGGCTGGAGGAGGCGAGCACTGCGTCTGCCGCCGCCGCCCCGCCTCCCACGCGTGCCCGTAGGAGCTGCGCCGCCCCCCCAACCTGTCACTGGCTTAGACACGCACACCACATCCACCCACGGCGCACATCTCACACACACACCATTCACACGCTGCACACACATATACATACTCACACCACCGCACTGCAGGCGGGGCGGGGAGGGGACAGACACCCTGGCCAGCATCCTCCCCTGGGGATGTCCAGGCTCCCAGGCACCACCTTGTCGGGCGCGCAGTCTTGCCCCCTTTGGTCCGCTTGGTTCAGGCACAGCTGGGTTGGGCCCCCACCCGCCCAGAGGGCTTCCTCCTCACGGCTCGGCGTCCAAAGCCCCGACTGTCCGCTTTCGGAGGGCAAGCCTGTGGCTCCTGGTAGACGCTGTGGCCCAGAGCCTGCACAGCGCCAGGCATAGAGCAGCCGACGCGCAGGCGCGTTGTCCGAGTGAGCAGGTGAGCGGGGGCTGTGGTCTCAGGACCCCGGGGCTCAGCCCAGCAGGGTCGGGGCTCCACACCTGGGCTCACAGCTGGCCGAGGAGCGATGGCGCGGCTGTGTCATGCCTTTTTGCTGTTGACTAGTGCCCCGTGTTGCGGATGTGTCCCATCTTATCTATTCAGTCGCCAGGCTCTGGACTGTTCATCCCGGGTGTGTCTACTGTTGACAGCGTTGCCGCCAGCGTTCTTGGACTAGTGTTTGTGTGGACACAGGGCTTTCATTTCTCTTGGGCAGGTACTTAGGAGTGGAATTGCTGGGTCGTATGGTAGTTTACATGTAGTTTTTAAAGAAAATGTTTTAACTTTTTTCCAAAGCGGCTGCCACATTTCATATTCCCATCAGCAGTGCAGAGGGGCTTGGCTTCACCCCCGCCCCGGACGCGTGTTACCATCTCTCCTTTTTGCTGCAGCCATCTGTATTCGCTCGCGAGGGCTGCCATAACTAAGTACCAAAGACCGGGTGGCTTAAACAACAGGAATTATTTCCTTATGATTCTGGTGGTTGGAAGTCAGACATCAAGGTGTCGGCAGGGTTGGTTTCCTCTGGGCCTCTCTCCTTGCCTTATAGAGGCCCGCTTCTCCGTGTGTCTTCAGATGGCCTTTCCTCTGCGTGTATCTGTGTCCTAATCTCCTTTTCCTTCTTTTTTAAGCCTTTAAAAAATAAATAAATAAATAATTATTGGCTGCATTGGGTCTTTGTTGCTGCGCACGGGCTTTCTCTAGTTGCAGCGAGTGGGGGCTACTCTTCGCTGCGGAGCATGGGCTCTAGGCACGTGGGCTTCAGTAGTTGTGGCTCACGGGCTCTAGAGCGCAGGCTCAGTAGTTGTGGAGCACAGGGTTAGCTGCTCCGCAGCATGTGGGATCTTCCCGGACCAGGGCTCGAACCCAGTCCCCTGCATTGGCAGGCGGATTCTTAACCACTGTGCCACCAGGGAAGTCCCTAACCTCCTTTTCTTATAAGGACATAGTCAGAATGGATTAAGGCCACCCATATGACTTCATTTTAACTTAATTATCTCTTTAAAGACCATATTTCCACATACTCTCACATGCTGAGGTCCTGAGGGTTAGGGCTTCTACGTATGAGTTTTGGGAGGAAACAATTCTGCTCATAACGCTGACCTCATACCCACTAGTAGGATGAGTGATATCTCACTGTGGTTTGAATCTGCATCCCTAATAACTAATGATGCTAATGTCAACAAAAATTAATCAGTAGTCCATCTAAAGAAGAAATAGAGAATTTTATTCAAGGCAACCTGAGGATTATAACTCAGAAAACTCTGAGGACTGTTCAGCTTGCTAGAAGTTGAAGGCACAGCTCTATACATTTTCAAGACAAAGGATTGTTCATCAAAGTGACCCTGACATTTTATGTAAAGTTCACCGAAAATACACACTCCAGCTCTACACGTATGAATCGAGTGCAGGTCACCACGACCGTAACAGAACTAGGAAAAGAAGGAAGGAGGAAAAAAAAAATGATCTTTTTGGTGAGGCAGAGATTCTTGCTCTTGAGGAGGGCCCAGGGCGGGGAGTATGGTCTGCTTAAATGTTCTTGTCTTGTCTTAAAAACATACATTTTATTCCATCATTAACTGTACATCTCTCCGTGGGTTTCTTAGCCACCTGTATATCTTTGGTGAAATGTTTGTTTAAATGTTCTGAACATTTTTCAATTGGGTTGTTTGTCTTGTTGTTACTGAGTTGTTAAAACTCTTCATATATTCTGGATACAAGTCCTTCAGCAGGTAGAAGATTTGCAGTCTCCCCCAGTCTGTGACTTGTCTTTTCACTTTCTTGATAGTCTCTTTTGAAGTGCAAAAGCTTGTAGTTTTGATAAAGTCCAAGGAATCAATTTTCTCTTTTATGTGTCGTGCTTTTGGTGCTGTGTTAAGAACTGACCCAAGGCCATGAATATTTTCTCATTTTTTCTTCCAGTGGTTTTGTAATTTTAACTTTTACATTTAAGCCTATGATGCATTTTGAGGTAGCTTGTGTGTACGATTAAGTTATAGGTCTAAGTTATTATTATTTTTTGCATATGTATATCCGGTTGTCTCAGCACCTTTCGTTAAAATCACTAATCTTTTCATGTTAAGTTGTCTTGACGTCTTTGTCAACAACCAGCTGTCCATACATATGTGGGTTCATTTCTGGATGCTTAACTCTGTTTCACTGATGTGTGTCTCAATCCTTATGCCTACAGTATGTCTTTTGCCACTGGGGCTTTGTAGCGTTTTGAAGTGGCGAAGTGTATCTGTTCTAATTTTGTCCTTTTAGAAATTGTTTTGGCTCTTCTGAGTCCTTCCATTTTCATATAAACTTTAGGATCAACTTGTCTATTTCTACAGAGTTCTGCTAGAAATTTGATAGGAATTGCATCGAATCTATAGATTAATTCTGGGAGAATCACCATCTTGACGAAGACTTGAGTCTTCTAATCCATGAAGAAAGAATATCTCTCCATTTATTTAGATCTGGATTTTCCTCAGCTCAAGTCTTGTGCTTCTTTTGTTAAATTTATTCCCAAGTATTTTATTACTTTCAGTGCTACTATGAATGAAAAATTCTCCCTAACTTCATTTCAAATTGTTCATTTCTAGTATATAAAAACAATTGATTTTTGTATATTGATCTTATATCCTGAGATCTTACTAAACTCTCTCTAAGTATGGGATCATATCATCTGTAAATAAAGACAGCTATTTTTCCATTCCGATTCAAGCATGATCTTTTCTTTGTCCTGCCTTGTTGTGCAGGCTGGACTCTACAGCACAATGTTGAACAGCAGGGTGAGCGTGGACGGTGACGTCTCCTCCCCATCTGAAGGTGAGAGTTGGTGGTCTTTCACTACTGAATATGATCACCACTGTAAGTTTTTCTGTACATGCCCTTTTACCAGGTTTAGAAAGTTCCCTTCTACTACTTTTTTGAAAGTATTTTTTAAAAATCATCAATGGGTATTGGCTTCCTGAAAAAGAATTTCAGATTCTTTTTGTTTCTATTAAAATGATCATTTCTTTGTCTTTCATGTTATCTATATAGTATAGTACATTAATTAACTTTTTGAATATTAAACTAACATTACATTCCTGGGATAAATTCTTTTTTATGTGTTGCTGGATTTCGCTGGTATTTTTTTAAATCTCATAATAGCTTTTTATTATGATTTTTTAAAATCAATTTATTTATTTTATTTATTTATTTTTGGCTGCGCTGGGTCTTCCTTGCTGCGTGCGTGCTTTCTCTAGTTGCAGCGAGCGGGGGCTACTCTTCGTTGCGGTGCGTGGGCTTCTCATTGCGGTGGCTTCTCTTGTTGTGGAGCACAGGCTCCAGGCACGCGGGCCTCCGTAACTGTGGCCCACGGGCTCCAGAGCACAGGCTCAGTAGTTGTGGCACACGGGCTTAGTTGCTCCGCGGCATGTGGGATCTTCCCGGACCGGGGCACGAACCTGTGTCCCCTGCATTGGCAGGTGGACTCCCAACCACTGCGCCACCAGGGAAGCCCTCGCTGGTATTTTTTATTAAGGATTTTTGTGTCAGTGTTCAGGAGGAATGTTGGTGTGTATACAGCTTTCTTTCCCCTGTAATGTCTTTGTCTACCTTTGGAGGCAGGAGGTGCTCTCACCTCCTCTACAGGCTGTGAAAGGTTATTTTTGCTGTTATTCCTTCTCAAGCGTTGTCTGCAGGCCTCTGGTGTTTCTGACAAGAAGTCAGCTTTAATCGTGTTGCTGGTTCTCTGCGCAGAAGGAGTAGCTTTTCTCTTGCTACTTTCAAGATTTCCTCTTTGTCTTTGGGTTTTAAAGTTTAACTGTGGGCTTCCCTGGTGGCACAGTGGTTAAGAATCTGCCTGCCAATGCAGGGGACGTGGTTTCGAGCCCTGGTCTGGGAAGATCCCACATGCCACGGAGCAACTAAGCCCATGCGCCACAACTACTGAGCCTGTGCTCTAGAGCCCTCGAGCCACAACTACTGAAGCCCGCATGCCTAGAGCCTGTGCTCAGCAACAAAGAGAAGCCACCGCAATGAGAAGCTCGCGCACAGCATCGAATAGTAGCCCCCGCTGGCTGTAACTAGAGAAAGTCGGCATGCAGCAACGAAGACCCAATGTAGCCAAAAATAAATAAATAAAATTAATTAATTAAAAAAAATAAAGTTTAGCTGTGATACATCTTTGTTTTTATCCTATTTGGGGCTCATTGAGCTTATTGGGTTCTGTAGATAAATGCTTTTCATCGAATTTGGAATGGTTTTTGCCATTAGTTATTGAAATATTTCTTCTGTCCCTCTCTTTCCTCTACTTGTGGGACTCCACGTATGTGTGTGTATGGTGTGTGCCTGTGTGCGTCACATGTGTGTTGCTGTCTCATAGGCTCTGGGCCACCAGGGAAGTCCTTGGGATGCTTTTCATTGTTCTTTTTTTTCTCTTCC